CTTTTAATAATCTGAGTCAAAAGCAATGTAACAAAAGAGACATTTCTTTGCAGATTCTTTTTTGCAGAAAGCGTGTTCTTTTTTTAGAGACTGTTTGAATAAAAGTGAGAGAACGTTTTTGCAATCAATGGCAATGTAATATTTTTGAAAACGAATTGTAGAAAAATCATTATTATTATTAAAAAAATTGCTCAAAAGTATACTCTAATGGTGTACATTTATGCATATTGCACGAGTAGTGTGCCTAAAAAACATAAACTTGGCATTATGTTAATAAAACACAAACATACAAAGTACGCCAAAATTTATCACAGAAAAATGAAAAAGTATGTGCAGGTACTTGCTTTTATACATTCGGCGAAAATGAAAAAACAATTTCCTGTATGAGGATTTTAACTTATGAAAATGTAAGTCGAAAATTTTGCTCTGAAAATGTTTAGGGGGTCTGCAACCACTAATGTGTCTTTTCTGTCCTTATTTTCTGAATTTTTGAGAGAGGAAAAGGAATGAAAACATTGAAATGAACTAAATTTGTTAAAAACTTGAGAAATTAACATCATGTGCAATGGGATGTATAAAGATAATTACCTAAGAGACTAGCCTTGTTTGAGTTCGACGTACATTAGAAAGTTTCATGTTATGTTAAGAAAAAAGGGAGAAACCATGTTATAATGAACAATAAAAATTGAACAAAAGTTGCTTATAGACAATACTCCGTTTTTGCTTTATAGTATCTTATCTATGAGCGAAAACTAACATCTGCAGTGCACATTTTCTTTTAGTTTATGGAGACACTTGAAATAGTTGACCAATTTGAATAATGTCGACATAAACATCTTTTTTCCCGGGGTGTTGTTACAAGGAATAAAATAATTTGGTCTGTTTTTTTTCAATGTAAATAGTATTTCTTGGAATTGTTGAAACAATATTTTTGTTGCATATTTCTTATGACATTAAATGTCTGAAATTATGGCTCTTCATCCCAAAGATAACGAAAAGTCATCAAAATTTGTGTCCCCGTCCACAGAAAAACACTTGTCTTGTGTTGATATCAAAATTCAAAAAGCCAATATTACTAACACTTTAGGACAAGACAATTTCTACTTCAGTTATATTTTGTCTAAGCTGCTGTTTGAGAAGGATTGAAAATAGCTCGCAAGAATTTAAAGGAGAAATTTCATTGATAGTCAAATTGCCTCTTCAATGGTAAGCAAAGAAAAAATAAAGAAAACCTAAAATTCAGAGCCTATCACATAATTTAAGAACAATAGCTCTTATGGATTAAACTTCCTTATCAAGACCATACATTTCATTAATCATAGTCATATTTATACGTAATCCAACAGATAATCTAACACAATATTTATCTTATAAAATACTTAAAGCATTATGAAACATTTTTGTATGTTTTTTTAAACATTTTCTGTAGTTTAGAGTAGCACAGCCATGCATCATATATACATAGCTATTATTTGGTAAATTGACTAATCTAAAATTCTTTAAAAAAATTTTACCGTTTCGCAAATAATTTTATCATCTATATTTATCCTTATGATGAAAACAAAAACGAATTGATTGATCACAACCAATGATAAAGTTCTACTAATTGATATTTATGAATGTCTGGAAATGTATTATATCATATTTCCATTTATACGTCAGAGAAAATAGTAGCTACATCAAAAATATTTGAAGAAAATATCATTAAGTATTTTCATTCTAAATACAGATAACAAAAAAATGTTCTTCGACTATCATACACATTTAATAATTATAAAATAATTGCAAAGTGTTTTACGTTTTTAGATGAGAATGATAGTAAACTAAAACTTGAATGAATGTGTGATAAAGAATATTTCATTGCACATTAAAACTAAGATTTGGGATTGAGGGAAATAATCAAGAAAGAGAGGTACATAATTCAACAAATTGATATGGGGCAAATCATCATCAAACATCAATACAGAAGTCATTTTAAAGGGCAAGAAATACATGCAGAACAAATGATACATTTCTCATCTCTTGTTTCTTCTGTTATAATTATTCAATATTGCAAGAATATTTTTGACAGATGGCAAATGCCTTTTAATTGTCTGAAACAAAACATTTGAAGAAGCAAGAATTTTTTAATAATGCAAAGTAGCATTCCTCTATTTAGCTTTTTAGACTTTCCTTACTTTAGCAGTTATGTGAAAATGCTCATAAATTTCATTGAATTCAGAACTTATATAATTATGAGAGTCGAACTTCCTCTATACGACTGACAGATGTTGTATACAGAATATTATGTATATCATGTAAAATATAAGTCGAAAACTTTGCTCTGAAAATGTTTAGGGGTCTGCAACCACTAATGTGTATTTTTTGTCCTTATTTTCTGAATTTTTGAGAGAGGAAAGGGAATGAATACATTGAAATGAACTAAATTTGTTAAAAACATGAGAAATTAAAATCATGTGAAATGGGATGTATAAAGAAAATTACCTAAGAGACTAGCCTTGTTTGAGTTCGACGTACATTACAAAGTTTCATGTTATGTTAAGAAAAATAGAGAGGAAACCATGTTATAATGAACAATAAAAACTGAGCAAAAGTTGCTTATAGACAATACTCCTTTTTTGGCTTTATACTATCTTTTCTATGAGCGGTAACTAACATCTGCAGTGCACATTTTTCTTTTAGTTGATAGAGACACTTGAAATAGTTGACCAATTTGAATAACGTCATCATAAACATATTTTTTCCCGGGGTGTTGTTATAAGAAATTATAATAATATGGTCTGTTATTTTAAATTTAAATGGTACTTCTAAGAATTGTTGAAACAATATTTTTGTTGCATAATTTTTCTTTCAATAAAGTTCTGCAATTATGCTCTTTATCCCCAAAATGATGAAAAATCATCAAAATTTGTGTCCCCGTCCACAGAAAAGTACTTGTCTTTTGTTAATATCAAAATTGAAAGCGCCAATACTACTAGCACTTTAGGACAAGACAATTTCTGCTTCAGTTATATTTTGTCTAAGCTGCTGTTTGAGAAGGATTGAAATAAACTCGCTAGAATTCAAAGGAGAAATTTTATTGATAGCCAAATTGCCTCTTCAATGGTAAGCAAAGAAAACATAAAGAAAACCTAAAATTCAGAGCCTATCACATAATGCAAAAAGAATAGCTCTTATGGATTAAACTTCTTTATCAAGACCATACATTTCATTTATCATAATCATGCTTATACGTAATCCAACTGATAATCTAACACAATATTTATCTTATAAAATACCTAAAGCATTATGAAACATTTTTGTATGATTTTTTAATCATTTTCTGTAGTTTAGAGTAGCGCAGCTATTCATCATATATACATAGCTGCAATTTGGTAATTTGACTAGTCTAAAATTTTTTAAAAATTTTCACCGTTTCGCAAATCTTTTCATCATTTTATATTCATCCTTACGATGAAGACAAAAACGAATTGATTTATTACAACTAAAGATAAAACTCTACTTATTTATATTTATGAATGTCTGGAAATGTTATATATCATATTTCCAATGATATGCCGGAGAAAATAGTAGCTACATCAAAAATATTTGAATCAACCATCATTAAGTATTTTTTTTCTAAATAGAGATAACAAAAAATGTTTTTTAACTATCATAGACATTTAAGAATTATAAATATTTGCAAAGTGTTTGACGTTTTTAGATGAGAATGATAGTAAACTAAAACTTGAATGCATGTGTGATAAAGAATATTTGATTGGACATTAAAACTAAGCTTTAGGATTGAGGGAAATGATAAAGAAAGAGAGGTACATAATTCAACAAATTGAAATGGGGCAAATCATTATCAAACATCAATACAGAAGTCATTTTAAAAAGCAAGGAATGCATGTAAAACAAATGATACATTTTTCGTCTCTTGTTTCTTTTGCTACAATTATTCAATATTGCAAAAATATTTTTGACAAATGGCAAATGGCTTTTAATTGTCTGAAACAAAATATTTGATAAAGGAAGATTTTTTTAATACTGCAAAGTTGCATTCCTCCATTTAGCTTTTTAGACATTCTTTACTTTAGCAGTTCTGTCAAAATACTCATAAATTTCATTCAATTCAGAATTTATATAACTATGAGAGTCCAACTTCTCTATACGACTGGCAGATGTTGTAAAGCAGAATATCATGTATTGTTTAACGGCCTCCATTTCTGTAACTAGAGGACATGTAGTTACGAAGAGGCCAGCGAGTCTGTTAAACACTGCGCAACAGACTATTTTGTATTTAATTTTGCTGGCTTAGTTAAGCAATAGGTCTTTTCCATTCACCTGGTAAACTGAGTTAACATGAGTAAACTTGAAATCAACCCATTTTAAATTTTTTCTAAATCGCTTTTGGGGAATTTCATATATTGTGTCATTTCCTTATAGGGGTCATTGAAATATTTTATTTCTTTCTATGCTTTGGTTTCCTAGAAACCTTACATTTATTTATTCAAAACACGTTCTAGGCGGGTGAACTCTACTTATATGAATTCTTGTAAACTTGAGTCCTTATAATGAACAATTTGTCTAATCTATTGCAACAAAATTCACTCATCATAAATTATCTGAAAGCAAACGTGAAAATACTTTTTAGAAAGGAAGTTAAAATCTTACATAATTATAGAAATCAATACTTGATTTATACAACCAAAATAAGTTTAAGAACAAATGATTACATGATTATATTAATGATAAACCTTTCATATATAAAGTAAATGTTTCACTACGAAAGCTTTAAAGAAATTAGTAATCGTCTACCTTCTAATAAATAGAAAATAAAGATGATATCAAGCTCAACAAAAGTGTTTCTTGGGACTCTCATAATCCTGTCTATTAGTGGCCAAATAGTAAATGGTAATGACGATATATCAATCTGCAAGAAAAGCTTAGAGAGATTAAAAGACAGCGTAAAAGAATGGATGGAAACTTGCGTTGATAAAAATAACAATGACGATAACACAACTGCATGCAAGGAAGTAAAACAATACAACAAAGAAATGATGCAAATGCAAACAGAAATGTGTTTCTACAAAGGTATATTCATTGGATTTGACAAATTTTCATAGTTTCTTGTTCATAGCACCAAAAACAATATGCAACAATAATAGGTAGAAGTTATGCAGCCAATCTAATTTCAGTTATTAGTAATATTTCTATATTGAAAAATTCTTTCTGAAAATACTTATTCTGGTCTTTCACCAAATATTATGATCGTAAAGTCTATAAAAATTTGCATTTTTTTAATCCACTCGCATCGTTGTTACTTATAGTTTTTTATTATTTATTTAGATGTTTATCCAAAGCCATATTTGATTATTATGAGCTTTGATAAAGTATACTCTGTCGATTCTATTACTGGAGATATTCATGTCAGCACTATTAATGGATCCAGTAAGAATAAATTTGACCATGCATCAAAATATAATGACATAGAAATTGATGTAGTTGAGAATGTGCTTTACTACATTGATGACAAAGACATCAAACGGGGAAATTTTGACTTAACTAGAAACGAAGTTTTTGCGAAAAATGTTTCTGTTCATGATATTACAGTTGACTGGATTGGTCGTCGTATCTTTTACATTGACTCCACGAACATTATCTACCAAATTCATTTGAAAAAGAAAATTACAAGTGTTATGAGGCTTCAACCAGGCTTACAATTTTCCAGCATTGCATTTGACTCAAAACATGGGTAAGGCGATATTGAAATTTTTTTATTTACTTGTAAGCGTAATCAATGTCAATCTATTGGAGGGTTTTCTTAAGTAAGGTAAGATTTTTTATTATTAGAGACGGCATTTTAATTTAATAGAAAAGTTGAATTTTTGAAGTCCGTATCATGGCCTGTTATTTAGAGGTACAAGAATAAAAAAAAATATTGATTTTCGAGGGAAAACAAAACTCGCTTTTACCCAAGGGAGCAAATATTAAGTATTTTTTTGTGTATAATGAAACAAATGTCATATATTTCAACAGCTTTTCAATAAAATTAACGAGATTTGGCCAGCAATATTTTATTGCGTGACTATAAGGCATTTCAAACCAACTGAAAGGATGAGCTCAGCTCGTGTGATTATTCAGCACACATGCAGTAGAAAATAACATGCAGATCCTGAAATTGCAAAAATCGACAGCGATATTTATGTTGAGCAACCAAAAAGCTTTGAGAAATATGTAACAACGGAGGGATCAATGTTTATAATTGATGAAGTCGTTAAATAAAATAAAACAGACCGATAGAAACAGCAATAAAATATTAAATAATTACTTTACCGATGAAACTTTAGTCAAATACTCACAGAATATTGGTTTGACAACAAAACAAAAGTAGTCCAACTTCACTGTGCAACTTGGTGTTGTACATTTAATAAGATTACTGGCTTCGGCTGGCAACCTAAGAGCGCTTTTCTTTAGCAGAAAATGCAATTTGCTTGACGCCTCCATGGTAATCATATGCTTAATAAGATATGCCCTACACAAAAGATTTCAACAGATTGGGAGCATTGTTTGTTGCTTTGCTGTGCCCTTTCATATACTGTGCAACAATCTCAATACGAAATAGCAATAAAGTTTTAAAAAATTCACGAAGGTGGTGAACGTAAGAAACTTCAACCTTTCGTTTTTATTGAAGATAAAAACTGCACACATTCCACGTAGTTACATCAAAATATAAAAAGAATTTTAGTTTTCAAAAATGTGGCAATTTAGAAAAAATCAGTATATCAAGTTTATAGTTTTCAAGCTTCTTCTTTAACTTGCATTGAATGGCGGAGTATATTGAAAAGTCAAGAGTTGCAAATTAAGTGTCTGCACACTACCCTGCAATAAATCCAATCACACATCCAATCAAATCACGGGATTGGAAAATCGTTCCAATACCTTTAGTTCATGCAGTGTTTCTTAGTGTAATTGATGCAAACGTTAGATCTGTAGTTGCTCAACTGATGATGAATCTGAAGATAATAATCACTTTAGAGATTAAAAAGAAATTGTCTGAAAAGCCTGTGAAGCGAGAACTTTCTGAATATGTTATAATTAATTTACAAATTTAAAAAAATTTCCTCTTCTAACGATTCCTATGAACTCTCCATTCATGAGAGCCTTCTAATTAATAAATACAAGTCTTCACTCATCGTTCAAGAAAGTTCCATTGCACTTAACCTCTCTTAGCGTCAGTATATTTTACTTCTCAACTTCTTTATCATGTATTTCATTTTGCACCACCTCCTTATTACGTAATTTAATACCTTTTGTAAATACAATATCTTGTTTTAACATCTCATTATAAATTAAAATTTGACTGAATATGTCTTGAGTAAGGACGAAACGACGGTTTAAATTCCATTTTACAACTTTTGGTCTATTTCTATGGCTCTAATTAAAACTTTATGTTGGGCATTAATTTTTATCATATTACAAGAAAAAATTAATTTTCACGAACACAAAACCAAAAGAACATTAGTATATACGAGAAAGTTTTTAAAGAGTTCGGGGCAAGGTGAAATGAACGACAAGAAGACATGGACTTTACTGTTACTCAAATGAGTAATATATTTAAGAAATGTATAAGAGAATGCAAATATGCTGCGATGATAATTAAAACTGCCAGTTGCATCAAACATTTTCGATAAAGTAAGGGCCATAGTGTTCAAGCAGTTTTTGCAGCTTGTCTAATCAAGAGAATCTTAAAAACACGAACATGACATGGCAATAGAATCATTTTCAAATGATACCAATAGCGCTAGCTCCAGTGTCAATTTTTCTAATTTTCAGAAAAACAATGAAGAAATTTGACAATTGAATAGAGAAGGCTAAGATAGTTGTAAAAAATCGTTTGTCCAAACAAACTGAAAAAAAGTATCAACAAAAGACAATGTTTGTGAAGCTATAGCTCTTTAAAGACATTTGTAGACGTTGATCCATCCAAGGAGCTGCTACTTTTCATGCAAGATGAAACTGAAAAATCAAGAAAGCTTAAACCTGAAATGACAAAGCTTTCTTAAATTTATATCTACATTAAATGGTGCATATCATTTCCCAACACCAAATTTTCAATTCCAACAAAATTTCCACGCCTCAGGTTATTTTTAGCATTATCAATTACCAACACAATTCATTCAGCAGCCACTCCAAACTGCAGCATTACTCATTCCGACAATAATCTCAAACAATACCAATCATTATAGAAGTTATGTGAATAAAAATAACATATTACATTTATTATGCTCGGAATCACATGCAATGTTTAATTACTTCATATATTTTAGTTCGGTTTTCAAACGAGGGATTTCAAATATTAAAGATGATCTTTTCCTGTTAGCTACAATAGCTTTATGTTGCTATATTATCAAATTTCATGAATATGTTCCATTAAACCGTCTATATATGAAAGTAGTTCTGAATACTTTGACAACATCTTTGTCTAAATTAATTATCTTTCCTTTTATGTATATATTAGCCTGTTTATTGTTTATGTATTTCATTACGTATAGAGAAAACTAATGTGCAAAACAAATATTTTTATTAAGGTATCTATTCTTGGCAGAAAGTACAGAAGTTTTCTTATGGTTATGGAGCATGACTGCAAATAAACATGATATTTTTTCAGTTTCACTTCAATCAATAGCACATGATCTAACGCTTGACATGACAAAAGAGAAGATTTATTGGCGAGTTTCAAACGGAAATGTTTTTTGTTGTGATTACTACTCCCATGATGTAATTAATTTTGGAACTTCAGGAGGTCCCATGGCAGTATTTAAAGATTTGATTTATATCATAACTAGTGTCGGACGAAATGTCGTTAGTGTCCATAACACAACAGATCAACGTACGAGGCGTAAATATTTTCTTCCTGTGAACAACGGTTATCTTGATTTGGCTGTAGCTATACACAGTATCACTCCTGACTCAAACGGTAGTTAAATATTTACTTATTTGACATAATAATCTAAGAATTGAAAAAACTCTCACGCTAATGTACTTAAAATTGAAAGACGTTAAAAAGTTTAAAGTTACATTGCCTTATTAAACGGTTGTTCTTCCTTCCAAAATTATAGAAAATTTGATAAACATTAAGTTCAAAGTGCAAAGTGTCTAATCTGGATGTTTTTGCCGTTTGTCTATTCTTGCCAAATTACTCGGGTGTTAAATTTATATCTTTATTGTTTCTTACATCATTTCGACAATCACTTTGACTTGTAATCAGTCTTAAATAAGAAAAAAATTCATGAAAATAGAATGAAAGTAAAAAACGTCCAATTTGAGCATGTTGTGCAGTGAGCTTAATATTTATCAAATCTTCTAAATATTTAGTACACTGCAAAATAGAGTTCAAACTTTTAAATCTTTGGATTAAACTAGATTTGAAACTTTTCATTTTCTTTCTGCATGCAGTTCAAAGTGAGGCAGTTACGAAGTACTCTCATGGTTTTCGAGATTAAACCTTAATTCATTTTACTTTTAAATAATCAAGACAAGGCAATGCCAAAACACATGAGCTTTGGCACATTTTGTTAGAAATATTGATGAATTGATAATTTCCTGAACATTTTTTAATTCCCTAACTTCTTTAGATACATCCTTTATAGTATCCCGAAAAGCCAGCAAATCTGTTCATACTCTATAAATTTTCAACATTTATTTAATTGTTTTGTTTTTACGATATTGGTGAACACCAAAGATACATCACAAATTCCTAGCTGGGTACGTCATAGTGGATACTGAATGACAAATATTGTGTTCTTTAAGAAAGAACATGCTTTCTTTTGAAATCCATTGTTGATTTTATTTTTAATTTTATTATTCTATATAGCGACAGACACTTTTCGACTTCCTTTATGTGGACCCAACACATACTATCATAAAATTAATGGATCATTAAACTGCACGTGTATGAAAGGATACTCAGGAGAATGTAACTCGTGCCAGGGTATGGATTTATAACTAAACAAACACAACTTGTTCCACAAGGACATAATTAAACATAACCTATTATATCTATGCCCATGAAAAGATTAAGTAATACCAGAGGAAAAGGACCGCCTATTGACCAAATTTTCCGTGGAGGAATGTGATAATCCTTATATTATTTGTTTTGTTACGATTTTTACATTAACTATGGCTTTTTAAAGCTGCAGGCTTTAGCTTATGTAGCTCCATTAGAATTTTTTTGCATATTAAAAAGGAGCATCTCCAAATTAACACTGTAGTGTAATTTTATGTCTTTTAATGTCGTGCTGTCTATCTTAAGAATTCATTTTTAATTTGTTTTTAACTGACCTTTAAGGTTCAATTAAAGCCTTGCCTAGAGAGCACCAAAAACGTATTTCTGAATAATTAAAAAGACAGTTATTTTAAAAATACGATATAGTTTTCCACGTTGTAACCGAAGAGTCTATGTGAACAATTTACTTTTTATTTTTTTGCTTGTTTCAACAAGATATGGGGCAGTGTTGCCATATGGCAATAAAATCAAATGATTGAATGGAAAACCAATGGGAACAATCGCAAGTTAAAGTGTTAATAAGATATTTATATTACAAAAAGAAATGAGGACTGATCTAAATAAAAAATTATTTAGACTCATGAAAGTCAAATAGTGTCTACTTGTCTGAAACGTTTTGATATTGTACTCATGTAATATTTTTTATCAATTTTTTGTTACTAATTTAATTCATTAATTCGCCTTAGAAGATTTTACAATGGCATCTTACATATTAGGATACTTTATATGTATACATGTAACTTAGAATATTTCGGAGTTGAGAATTCTATGTTTTGCAATATCTCTTTATTTTCTCTTTTTATCAGTTATTAACTCTGTAAGACTTCGGGGACCAAAAAGTTCTATTGGCAAAGGTCGTGTAGAAGTATTTTACAATGGAGAATGGGGAACAATTTGTGATCGTGGCTGGGATATAAACGATGCTATAGTTGTTTGTCGACAACTTGGTTATGACAATGCTGTCAGGGCTTTACTAGGAGGTGATGTTCCTAATGGCAGTGGAAGAATATGGTTGGATTATCTTTCTTGTGTAGGAAATGAAAATATCATTTCGAGTTGTTCACATAGAGGATGGGGAACCCATAATTGTGAACACTATGAAGATGCTGGTGTACAATGTTCAGGTTTGTTTGTACATTATTTAACTTTTTATAGAAAGATGATAAACTGACTTATTTGGGGATCCTCAATGATGAATTTAAACATTTAATATGATTTTATAATGCTGAAATAGATATTGACAAATGCCTTAAGTATAAACACAGCTTCGGACGTAAATTAACCAAATAAACACAACTCGTTCCACGTGTACATAATTAAACATAACCAATTTTATGATTGCCCAGAGAAAGATTCGAAATTACAAGAGAAAATGGGCAGTCCATTGGCAAACTTTTCCTAGGAGGAATATGATAATCCTTAACTTATCAGTTTTGTTACGATTGTTTAGATTCATTATACGAATTTAAAGCTGTATGCTATAGCTTATGACGCTCCATTAAAATTTTTTTGCACATTAATAAAGAGCATCTCCAAATTTACACTGCAGTGTAATTTTATGTCTTGTAGTGGCATGCTGTCTATCTTAAGAATTCATTTTTAAATTCGTTTTTAACTGACCGTTAAGATTTAGCTAAACCATACCTAGAGAGCACGAGAAACATATTTCTCAATAAGTAAAAAGACAGTTATTTTAAAAATGCGATAAAGATTCCCACGTTTTAAACGAAGAGTATGAGTTAACTATTTACTCTTTATTTTTTGCCTGAATCAATAGATTATGGGGTAGTTTTGCCATATTGCAAATAATCAAATGATTGAATGGGAAACCAATGGGGAAAGTTCGCAAGTTAACGGGTTAAGAACTTATTTATATTACATAAAGAAATGAGGACTGGTCTAAATAAGAACTTTTTTCGACTCATGAAAGTCAAATAGTGTGTCTGATGGTCCAAAACGTTTTGATATTGTACTTACGTAAGTTTTTTTATCAAATTTTTGTTACTAATTTAAATCATTAAATTCGCACAAGAATATTTTACAATGGCACCCAACATAACAGGAGACTTTATTTGTAAACATGTAACTTAGAATATTTTGGAGTGAAGACTTCTATGTTTTGCAATATCCCTTTATTTTCATTTTTTATCAGTTATCAACTCTGTTAGACTTCGGGGACCAGAAAGTTCTATTGGCAGAGGTCGTGTGGATGTATTATACGATGGAGAATGGGGAACAATTTGTGATGATGGCTGGGATTTAAACGATGCTAAAGTTGTTTGTCGACAACTTGGTTATGACTATGCTGGCAGGGCTTTACTAGGAGGTAATGTTCCACATGGCAGTGGAAGAATATGGTTAGACGAAGTTCGTTGTGTAGGAAATGAAAATAATATTTTGAGTTGTTCACATAGTGGATGGGGATCACATAATTGTACACATGATGAAGATGCTGGTACACAATGTTCAGGTTTGTTTCTACATTATTTACATTTATTTACAAAGATAATAAACTGAATTAATTGAAACATCCTCAATGACTAATCGAAAAATTTAATATGATTTTCAAATACTGAAACAATATTGACAAATTCTTTAAGTATAAACACAGCTTCGGACGTAAAATAACCATATAAACACAACTCGTTCCACGAGGTCATAATTAAACATAACCTATTTTATGACTGTCTATAGAAAGATTTGATAATACTCGAGAAAAAGGGCAGTACATTGACCAAATTTTCCGTGGAGGAATGTGATAATCCTTAAACTATCTGTTTTTTTTCGATTGTTTACAAACATTATAGCTTTTTAAAGCTGTAGGCTGTAGCTTATAAAGGTTCATTAAAATTTTTTGCATATTTAACAGAAGCATCTCCAAATTAACACTGAGTGTAATTTTATGTCTTTTAATGTCGTGCTGTCTATCTTAAGAATTCATTTTTACTTTGTTTTTAACTGACCGTTAAGATTTAGTTAAAGCCATGCCTAGAGAGCACCAGAAACGTATTTCTGAATAATTAAAAAGACAGTTATTTTAAAAATACGATATAGTTTTCCACGTTGTAAGCGAAGAGTCTATGTGAATAATTTACTTTTTATTTTTTTGTTTGTTTCAACAAGTTATGGGGCAGTGTTGCCATATGGCAATAAAATCAAATGATTGGATGGAAAACTAATGGGAACATTCGCAAGTTAAAGTGTTAATAAGATATTTATATTACAAAAAGAAATGAGGACTGATCTAAATAAAAAATTATTTATACTAATGAAAGTCAAATAGTGTCTACTTGTCTAAAACGTTTTGATATTGTACTCATGTAAGTTTTTTTATCAATTTTTTAATACTATTTTAATTCAGTAATTTCGCCTAAGAAAATTTTACAATGGCATCTTACATATTAGGATACTTTATATATATACATGTAACTTAGAATATTTCGGAGTTGAGACTTCTTTGTTTTGCATTATCTCTTGATTTCCTTTTTTTATCAGTTATCAACTCCATTAGACTTCGGGGACCAGAAATTTCTATTGGCAAAGGTCGTGTAGAAGTATTTTACAATGAAGAATGGGGAACAATTTGTGATGATGGCTGGGATATAAACGATGCTAAAGTGGTGTGTCGACAACTTGGTTATGACTATTATTTCAGGTCTTTACTACGAGGTAATGTTCCACGTGGCAGTGGAAGAATATGGTTAGATGACGTTCAATGTGTAGGAAATGAAAGTAATATTTCCAGTTGTTCACATAGAGAATGGGGATTGCATAATTGTAGACATTATAAAGATGCTGGTGTACAATGTTCAGGTTTGTATGTACATTATTTACATTTTTTAACAAAGATGATAAACTGAATTATTTGAGGGAACTTCAATGATTAATTGAAACATTTAATATGATTTTATAATACTGAAATAGATATTGACAAATGCCTTAAATATAAACACAGCTACGGACGTAAATTAACCAAATAAACACAACTCGTTCCACGAGTACATAATTAAACATAACCAATTTTATGATTGCCCAGAGAACGATTCGACAATACCAGAGAAAATGGGCAGTCCATTGGCCAACATTTCCTTGGAGGAATATGATAGTCCTTAAATTATCAGTTTTGTTACGATTGTTTACATTCATTATAGCTATTTAAAGCTGTATGCTGTAGCTTATGATTCTCCATTAGAATTTTTTTGCACATTAATAAGGAGCATCTCCAAATTTACACTACAGTGTAACTTTATGTCTTGTAATGGCGTGCTGTCTATCTTAAGAATTCGTTTTTAAATTCGTTTTTAACTGACCGTTAAGATTTAGCTAAAGCCATACCTAGAGAGCACCAGAAGCATATTTCTCAATAATTAAAAAGACAGTTATTTTAAAAATGCGATAAAGATTCCCACGTTTTAAACGAAGAGTATGAGTGAACTATTTACTCTTTATTTTTTGCCTGCATCAACAAGTTATGGTGTAGTTTTGCCATATTGCAATAAAATCAAATGATTGAATGGGAAACCAATGGGCAAAGTTCGCAAGTTAACCGGTTAAGAACTTATTTATATTACATAAAGAAATGAGGACTGGTCTAAATAAGAACTTTTTTCGACTCATGAAAGTCAAATAGTGTGTCTGATGGTCCAAAACGTTTTGATATTGTATTTATGTAAGTTTTTTTATCAAATTTTTGTTACTAATTTAAATCATTAATTTCGCACAAGAATATTTTACAATGGCACCCAACATAACAGGATACTTTATATATAAATATGTAACTTAGAATATTTTGGAGTGAAGACTTCTATGTATTGCAATATCTCTTTAATTTCTGTTTTTTATCAGTTATGAACTCTGTCAGACTTCGGGGACCAGAAAGTTCTATTGGCAGAGGTCGTGTGGATGTATTTTACCATGGAGAATGGGGAACAATTTGTGATGATGGCTGGGATTTAAACGATGCTAAAGTTGTTTGTCGACAACTTGGTTATGACTATGCTGGCAGGGCTTTACTAGGAGGTAATGTTCCACATGGCAGTGGAAGAATATGGTTAGACGAAGTTCGTTGTGTAGGAAATGAAAATAATATTTCGAGTTGTTCACATAGTGGATGGGGATCACATAATTGTACACATGATGAAGATGCTGGTACACAATGTTCAGGTTTGTTTCTACATTATTTACATTTATTTACAAAGATAATAAACTGAATTAATTGAAACATCCTCAATGACTAATCGAAAAATTTAATATGATTTTCAAATACTGAAACAATATTGACAAATTCTTTAAGTATAAACACAGCTTCGGACGTAAATTAACCATATAAACACAACTCGTTCCACGAGGACATAATTAAATATAACCTATTTTATGACTGTCTATAGAAAGATTCGATAATACTCGAGAAAAAGGGCAGTCTATTGACCAAACTTTCCGTGGAGGAATGTAATAATCTTTAAACTATCTGGGTTTTTTTACCATTGTTTACAATCATTATAGCTTTTTAAAGCTGTAAGCTGTAGCTTATAAAGGTTCATTAAATTTTTTTTGCATATTTAACAGAAGCATCCCCAAATTAACACTGAGTGTAATTTTATGTCTTTTAATGTCGTGCTGTCTATCTTAAGAATTCATTTTTACTTTGTTTTTAACTGACCGTTACGATTTAGTTAAAGCCATGCCTAGAGAGCACCAGAAACGTATTTCTGAATAGTTAAAAAGACAGTTATTTTAAAAATACGATATAATTTTCCACGTTGTAAGCGAAGTGTCTATGTGAACAATTTACTTTTTATTTTTTTGCTTGTTTCAACAAGTTATGGGTCAGTGTTGCCATATGGCAATAAAATCAAATGATTGGATGGAAAACTAATGGGAACATTCGCAAGTTAAAGTGTTAATAAGATATTTATATTACAAAAAGAAATGAGGACTGATCTAAATAAAAAATTATTTATACTAATGAAAGTCAAATAGTGTCTACTTGTTTAAAACGTTTTGATATTGTACTCATGTAAGTTTTTTTATCAATTTTTTAATACTATTTTAATTCATTAATTTCGCCTAAGAAGATTTTACAATGGCATCTTACATATTAGGATACTTTATATGTATACATGTAACTTAGAATATTTCGGAGTTGAGACTTCTTTGTTTTGCATTCTCTTGATTTCCTTTTTTTATCAGTTATCAACTCTGTTAAACTTCGGGGACCAGAAATTTCTATTGGCAAAGGTCGTGTAGAAGTATTTTACAATGGAGAATGGGGAACAATTTGTGATGATGGCTGGGATATAAACGATGCTAAAGTGGTGTGTCGACAACTTGGTTATGACTATTATTTCAGGTCTTTACTACGAGGTAATGTTCCACGTGGCAGTGGAAGAATATGGTTAGATGACGTTCAATGTGTAGGAAATGAAAGTAATATTTCCAGTTGTTCACATAGAGAATGGGGATTGCATAATTGTAGACATTATAAAGATGCTGGTGTACAATGTTCAGGTTTGTATGTACATTATTTACATTTTTTAACAAAGATGTTAAACTGAATTATTTGAGGGAACTTCAATGATTAATTGAAACATTTAATATGATTTTATAATACTGAAATAGATATTGAAAAATGCCTTAAGTATAAACACAGCATCGGACGTAAATTAACCAAATAAACACAACTCGTTCCACGAGTACATAATTAAACATAACCAATTTTATGATTGCGCCGAGAAAGATTCGACAATACCAGAAAAAATGGGCAGTCCATTGGCCAACTTTTCCTTGGAGGAATATGATAATCCTTAAATTATCAGTTTTGTTACGATTGTTTACATTCATTATAGCTTTTTAAAGCTGTATGCTGTAGCTTATGATGCTCCATTAAAATTTTTTTGCACATTAATAAGGAGCGTCTCCAAATTTACACTGCAGTGTAATTTTATATCTTGTAATGGCGTGCTGTCTATCTTAAGAATTAATTTTTCAATTCGTTTTTAACTGACCGTTAAGATTTAGCTAAAGCCATACCTAGAGAGCACCAGAAACAAATTTCTCAATAATTAAAAAGACAGTTATTTTAAAACTGCGATAAAGATTCCCACGTTTTAAACGAAGAGTATGAGTGAACTGCTTACTATTTATTTTTTGCCTGTATCAACAAGATATGGTGTAGTTTTGGCATATTGCAATAAAATGAAATGATTGAATGGGAAACTGTATTGTTTGATATTTCATTTAGGTGTATTTTACCACTGCCTAGATAGTACAAGTTAACTCCTTTAACATATTTAGTTTTATAACAATTAACATAACTGATAACGTAAATCCTAATAAATTAACATAAATTAATAAAAATAACACTCCTTCCGGCACAATTCTAATAGTTCTTTAGCTAACTTGTAGTTTTATTTTCCTAAAAGTTCGGGATTGATTACAATCTATCGAAAATAAACTATATTTCATCAATTAAACGTTTTGGTTTCGTGCAATTACGCAGAGGATACCGGCGATTGTTTGATACCTGTTCACTGTCATTACAACTACCGGGCGCTGTAGTTATCTTGTCAGGTAAGGTCTGTACCTGCGGTAGAGGCGTGGTTTTCAAGGTCGTTGTGGTACTTACAGTTGGTTCTTTGAATATCTCATGGTTGATATGTTTAGACACTGTAGTTTCATAGAGCACCAGACTTTTTTGTGTCTCCGAGTTAGAGGGATATTTCTCAGCATCTAGTTTTGTCTTACCAACTGGAACTGTTGATCCTGCCAGATTTCGCAATTGATCAATATGTCATTTCTACAATACATCGTCCACCAACACTCGATACGTAACTGGGCTTAACTTCATTTGAATTACTCCCTCTATCCAACGATCTCTTCTTGCTCTATAATCTTTTACCATCACTGGATCTCCAATTTCTAACTTACGCCTTGACAATTTCGGTAATTGATGTGATTTCTTATCCATTTTATTTGCCAGACTGGGATGCAATATATCTAATCTTGTTCTACGTCGTCGACCCATAAGAATTTCTGCAGGTGTACATTCAGTTGCTGTATGTGGTGTGGTACGATATCCTAACAAAAATCTTGCTAATTTCTCTCCAGTAGATCCTTCTTCATTCTTACGAATCTTCATGGAGTCTTTAAATGTTCTCACTGCTCTTTCCGCTTCCCCATTTGAAGCAGGGTGGTACGGTGAAGATAAGTGCATTTGAATTCCATTGCCTTTTAGAAAATCATTCATTTCCTGCGCAACAAATTGTGGACCATTGTCCGACACCATCTCTTCCGGTAGACCATGAACTGAAAATAAAGATCTTAATGCTTGTATTGTTGCCGCAGCGGTGGTTGATGACATAGATATAACCTCCATCCATTTAGACTTAGCATCTACCACTATTAAATACATGCCACCCTCGACTGGACCTGCAAAGTCGACATGAATTCTTTGCCATGGACGTACAGGCCAAATCCATGGATGATTTACTTTAAGTGGAGATTTACAGCGATTAAATTGACAACTGGTGCAATCTCTCACAGTCTGTTCAATGTCTTGGTCTAATGTTGACCACCACACATGTAAACGTGCTAAAGATTTCATCCGCACCATTCCTGGATGATTTATATGCAACTCCGACAACACCACTCCTTGATATTTGGTTGGAATTACCACTCGGGTTCCTCTCAATAGGCATCCTTCTTCTACAGTAAACTCGTCTTGCTTTGTAAAGAAATATTGTAGTTCCTCTGGTAACTTTCCTTCTGGCCAACCATGTAACAGATAGTATACTACACGAGACAATACTGAATCTTTTTGCGTAGCTTCTCTAATCATACTTACTGAAACAGGTGACCGCTTCAGTTGAACGCTGTTTACTGCCGCTGCCTCTTCCTCCCATTCGTCCGGTTCTTCAACACTTTTCCTAGGTAACCGGGACAACGCATCAACATTCGCATTGTTCTTTGAAGTTCGGTATTCAATATCATACTGATATGCACCCAGTTGAATCGCCCATCTCTGCAAGCGGGAGACTGCCAAGACAGGAACACCTCGTTTAGGTCCCAGTATCATAGTAAGCGGCTTATGATCTGTGATTAAAGAAAACGTCTTCCATACACATACTGATGAAACTTCTTCAATCCAAAATAATTGCAAGGGCCTCTTTCTCGATCATAGAATAGTTTTGCTCACTAGAAGAAAGTGTTCTCGAGGCATAAGCTATTGGTTGTTCTTCTCCTTCGTCCGATACATTTGATAGAACAGCACCTATTCCACACGATGAGGCATCTGTCGCTAATCTCACGGGTTTCTTGGGGTCGTAATGTGTTAATACTGGTGCCGTTTCCAATAGGACTTTTAAAGTCTCAAAGGATTTCTGACATTCTTCCGACCATTTCCAAGTAACTTCTTGTGACAGTAAACAATTCAGAGGATTAACCAACTTTGCCATATTTGGAATAAACTTACGATAATAGTTCACTAGCCCCAGAAATGACTTCAATTCTGTTGGATTTTCCGGAGTTGGTACCTCCCTTATAGCTTGAACTTTACGAGGCGATGGATGGATTCCTTGTCGATCCACGACAAATGCGAAATTTTCCACTGAAGGTTGCATAAAAACGCACTTTGATTTCTTCAATTTGATTCCCATATTTTGAAGACGTTTCAGTGCTCTCTCAAGATTCCGCAAATGTTCTTCATTATTTTTTACCCGTAATTATCAAATCATCAAGTATACCTCCTACTCCCTGTAAACCATTCAAAACCATATCCATCGTTCTTTGAAAAATAGCTGGGCTAGCTGCCACTCCAAATGGCAGTCTTGTATACCTATACAAACCCAAATGTGTGTTAATTGTAACATAACGTTGTGATTCTTCGTCCAAAACAACTTGCTGATATGCTGCCGACAGATCTATCTTTGAAAATTTCTCGCCTCCTCGTAGCTTTGTAAATAGTTCTTCAGCTGTCGGCATTGGATATTCTTGAACGTCTAGACTTTGGTTAATGGTCACTTTATAATCGCCACAAATCCGTACACTACCATCAGGTTTCAACACTGGCACGATTGGCGTCGCCCAATCTGAAAACTCTACCTTTCCAGGACCCCAAGTTTCTCTAAACGGTAGATTTCTTCCTTTACCTTGTCTTTCAGCGCAAACGGGACTGATCTAGGTTTAAAAAACTTTGGATTTGAGTTTGGTTTCATGTATAAATGTGCCTTAACTCCTTTTACTGTCCCCAACGAATTGTCAAATAAGGACGCATATTGAATTATTAATTGCTCCACATTTTTGACAGGTTTTGCCACTACTTGTTTTATTTGACTCCAGTTAAGCTTTAAAACTGCCAGCCAATTTCGTCCCAACAACACAGGACCTTTATTTTGAGTTATTACAATTGGTAACTTAGCTTTTTGTTTTCCATGTTGAACGCAACGTCTAATTCTCCCCTCACTGGAACTTCATGCCCAGAATAACTTTGCAGTCTAACGTTGGACTTGCGTATGCATTTTGCAGACAACACATTTCTCCACACATTTTCTGGCATAATTGATACCGCAGCTCCCGTGTCCACTTCCATCTTTACTGACTTTCCATCCATTAGGACTAATACTTCCATCTCTTTACATTTCTTTCTCGAATCAGTTAATGTGAACACCGGCCATGTTTTCACATCTTCTTCTTGGCTTTCGCTGTCACTGTCAACGTTGCTATGTGTTTTAACGTTGTGAATTTCGCTGGATTTTTTTCTTCTTTTCTTCTCACTGTTTTGTATTCTTCATCTCTCCTGGGACACTTCTTTAATATATGTCCATAATTTTGACAACCGTGATATTTGGACTTCCGAAAATAACACTTATCGGGAGAATGATTTTTCTTACCACAGCGACAACACTCGAGGGATGCTGTTTGCATCCCTAATCGATTCCACTTGTCCTTGCTCAGCCTTGTGGAACTTATATCGTTCAGCAATAACTATTGGTTTTGGCTCAAGATGTTGTGTTAAAGTTTCTACAATTTGGTTATATGTAAGTTCTTTTGGTCTTCTTGGTGCTGTAATTAATCTTAACAACGCATACATCTTACTACCCATCAAGGTAAGTATGCTCGAGGCTTGCTTTTCTCTTGGTACATTATTTACTTCGAAGAATATTTCAAGCCGCTCAACGTACTGCTTCCAATCTGTACTCGTTGAATATTCTTCCATATGTCCCATAAAGGGCACATTAAAACCAACAGTTGTCTGTGTACTTTGGGCTTCTTCGTCCATCAGAATCCCATCTTTGTCGCCAACTGTAGTGTTTTATATTTCATTTATGTGAATTTTACCACTGCCTCGATAGTACAAGTTAACTCCTTTTATATATTTTAGCTTTGTAACAATTAACATAACTAATAATGTAAATCCTATTAAATTACCATAAATTAATAAACATAACAGGAAACCAATGGGGAAAGTTCGCAAGTTAACGGGTTAAGAACTTATTTATATTACATAAAGAAATGAGGACTGGTCTAAATAAAAATTTTTTTCGACTCATGAAAGTCAAATAGTGTGTCTGATGCTCCAAAACGTTTGATATTGAACTTATGTAAGTTTTATTATGAAATTTTTGTTACTAATTTAAATGATTAATTTCGCACAAGAATATTTTACAATGGCACCCAACATAACAAGATACTTTATATATAAACATGTTACTTAGAATATTTTGGAGTGAAGACTTCTATGTTTTGCAATATCTCTTTATTTTCTTTTTTTAGCAGTTATCAACTCTGTTAGACTTCGGGGACCAGAAAGTTCTAGTGGCAGAGGTCGTGTGGATGTATTTTACAATGGAGAATGGGGAACAATTTGTGATGATGGCTGGGATTTAAACGATGCTAAAGTTGTTTGTCGACAACTTGGTTATGACTATGCTGGCAGGGCTTTACTAGGAGGTAATGTTCCACATGGCAGTGGAAGAATATGGTTAGACGAAGTTCGTTGTGTAGGAAATGAAAATAATATTTCGAGTTGTTCACATAGTGGATGGGGATCACATAATTGTACACATGATGAAGATGCCGGTATACAATGTTCAGGTTTGTTTCTACATTATTTTCATTTATTTACAAAGATAATAAACTGAATTAATTTAAGGATCCTCAATGATTAATCGAAACATTTAATATGATTTTCAAACACTGAAACAATATTGACAGATTCCTTAAGTTTAAACACAGCTTCAGACGTAAATTAACCATATAAACACAACTTGTTCCACGAGGACATAATTAAACATAACTCTTTTATGATTACCCATAGAAAGATTCGATAATACTCGAGAAAAAGGGCAGTACATTGACCAAATTTTCCGTGGAGGAATCTAATAATCCTTAAATTATCTATTTTTTTACGATTGTTTACATTCATTATAGCTTTTTAAAGCTGTAGTCTGTAGCTTATAAGGTCCATTAAATTTTTTTTTGCATATTTAACTGAAGCATCTCCAAATTATCACTGAGTGTAATTTTATGTTTTTAATTGTCGTGCTGTCTATCTTAAGAATTCATTTTCAATTTGTTTTTAACTGACCGTTAAGGTTCAGCTAAAGCCATGCCTAGAGAGCACCAGAAACGTATTTCTGAATAATTAAAAACACAGTTATTTTAAAAATACGATATAGTTTTCTACGTTGTAAGCGAAGAGTCTATGTGAACAATTTACTTTTTATTTTTTTGCTTGTTTCAACAAGTTATGAGGAAGTGTTGCCATATGGCAATAAAATCAAATGATTGAATGGAAAACTAATGGGAACATTTGCAAGTTAAAGTGTTAATAAGATATTTATATTACAAAAAGAAATGAGGACTGATCTAAATAAAAAATTATTTAGACTCATGAAAGTCAAATAGTGTCTACTTGTCTAAAACGTTTTGATATTGTACTCATGTAAGTTTTTTTATCAATTTTTTGTTACTAATTTAATTCATTAATTTCGCCTAAGAAGATTTTGTAATGGCATCTATTATATTAGGATACTTTATATGTATACATGTAACTTAGAATATTTCGGAGTTGAGACTTCTATGTTTTGCATTATCTCTTGATTTTCTTCTTTTATCAGTTATCAACTCTGTTAGACTTCGGGGACCAGAAAGTTCTATTGGCAAAGGTCGTGTAGAAGTATTTTACAATGGAGAATGGGGAACAATTTGTGATAATGGCTGGGATTTAAACGATGCTAAAGTTGTGTGTCGACAACTTGGTTATGACAATGCTGTCTGGGCTTTACTAGGAAGTTTTGTTCCTTTTGGCAGTGGAAGAATATGGTTAGACTACGTTCGTTGTGTAGGAAATGAAAATAAAATTTCGAGTTGTTTACATAGAGGATGGGGATTGCATTATTGTAGACATTATGAAGATGCTGGTGTACAATGTTCAGGTTTGTATGTACATTATTTACATTTTTATACAAAGATGATAAACTGAATTATTTGAGGGATCTTTAATGATTAATTGAAACATTTATTATGATTTTATAATACTGAATTAGATATTGACAAATGCCTTAAGTATAAACACAGCTTCGTACGTAAATTATCCAAATAAACACAACTCGTTGACGAGTACATAATTAAACATAACCATTTTTATTTTTTTCTTTATGTCATTTTTTGCATCCTTGCAGTTGCCCAATTTTTTAAAATAATATTTAAGTCGACATTGTCGGTAAGATATTTTTCACATGCAAGAACGATTAAGTCATTTAATCGCGTATCTATCTTTGTCCATCTCAAGCAGTTTTTGACAATCATATACTTCCTGAAACACCTTTCATCTTTTGCAACGGACACTGGAGCGGTCAGCAATAGTTGATACGCCTTGCACACCATTGGAAAGACGTTTTTGTGATTGAAAGCAAATAACGCAACGTGTTGAAGGGATTTGGGTTCTGATTTAAGTTGTGACGACACAATATTATTGAAAACTTCCAACTCATACAGCAGTATTTCTGCATCAACATCTTATACCGCCGGTGGAAACAGACTACACTTTTCATGAACTGATTCAGCCATCGGCCTTTCTAGTGGCAGCTGTAAGCTCTCTCGAAAAGGTTTTATCTGGTCGATGCAAACTTTAATGATATTGGTATACTCGGTAATAATTGAGTCTAAAAGTAAGTACATTTCTTTTGGTACAAATCTTTAAAGGTTTTTCTGTTGTTATTTCGGAATGCTCACCAATTCGTTTGGGTGACTTTCTTGATCGATGATGACGTGTGTATTCTGCCATTACGTCTATTCCTACTTTGGTAACGAATGCAACCATTGCCTCTATCTCTGAGTCTAATCCTTTATCATCACTTCGAATTTGTCTAAGGTTTTTTACTGTAGCATCAATTAGGTTAAGTGCATATATTATATTTAGCTCCTCCTTCTGCTGTTGTTTCATTAGGAATTGGTTTTATCATTATGATTTGCATGAAAATAAGAGCAAAAAGAAAGTCAAAACTAAGAAATTTCTTTTTTATTCCATCGCCTTTAGATTTTACTTTTGATTCTACTTCTCGAGCATTAATAACTTTCACAATAGCATTTGGTATTACCTCATAACTTCTCCATTGTAAACCCATCTTGTCTTTGACAAGTTTCGAAACTTTAAATTGTTTTCAACATCTTTGCAACTTTCTTCTACAATTTTATTTCTTTTTGTGCTTTTGCTAAAGAGCACATATACGTAATCTAGAGCGCCGTACGTTGATGTACTTATTGAGCTTTAATTGCAACAATGCTCGTTGAATGTATTAGACCGATGTCTCTAGCAAGGGATGTAAGGCACTTGTTGTTTTAAAATTTCTTGCAACACTTTTTGAGCACCATTTAGTTATCCAGATATTGATGTTGCGAAATCGTATGTTTGAAATGCAAGCATATCTATATCGATTTCATTTTCCATTAAAGATTTAATGACACCTTTAGCCGCTCCAGCATCGGTTTTATCAAGGCTCTCTTTCATTTCAAGCCGTCTCTCGCATGGGATGCTCATCTGGTTGACATATTTTACAGCGACGATAAGCATGTCTTGATTCAAAGTATTAAGTGCAGTGTCTGCAGACACAGAAAATACACCGGCTGACTTAATTCAGCAAAAATTTCATCCCTCACAGATTGAGCCAGCAAATGATGCATCTCATTTTGTGCCTCTGACCTTGTATATGTTGTACTATATGACCTTAGGCGCTGACCGTCCAGCCACAGCTTGAGAACAGGAAAATGTTTGGAAAAAGATTTACAAACTGAATGAATTTTCCGTCCTTGTCATTGCCGCCTCCTCTGGATGCCAACGACTGCTTGCCTGAGTGCGAGCCACATCAAGAAGAATCAACATATTTTCTTTGTTCTTTTCTTCATCTGCTTTCTCTTGCATCAATATTTCCTTCATTTTCGCATTCATCATTACATCAATATGGCCAGATATTATTGAGAAACGAGCAAAATCAGCCAGAGTAGCTTGTTGGGACTTGCTACTGAAGTGTTTATGAAGTTTTACTTCATAAACACTTCAGGAAGAAAGATTATATTTTGTTCTTTTACTTTTCATTGCAAAAAATGACGTGCTTCATCTTTCTATTGCTACTAAGGAAAAATACTATGATTATGCCAATGGATGAAACGTTTTGATTTAATCATGGTAAGACTTGGCAAACACAAGTAGTATTTAAGGACAAAATTTAAAACTGGCCAAAAATTTGCAAAATTTTTTTCCGTTTAGATTATTGATAAGGCTTTCCTATATTCCTTGATATAGACTGAAAGCAGGAAAGCGCTTTTCTAAGAGTTAAATTTCATGAAATTTTATAGGCTAGAAGGAAAGATCCTAGTGATGGGGAATCATGTCAAAGAAATACACTAAAAACTTAATTCTAATCGAAGATCGTAAAAAGTGTCGTGGAAAATTTGAAAGCTTATGTAGAAAATGCTGTGTGTTGGACATTTTTATCCATTGTTGAAATGTATCTGTAATACAAAACTACGTGTAGACAAATTGTAATCAACCATATTATCATATAAAGTAAATGTACATATTATCATAATCTATAAAAAAAAATATAAATGATTAAGTTTAATTTCTGCTAAGAATAAAATATTATTGACAAGTCAAATTATTTACTGAATTACATTATCTTTGACAATTGACAAATCAAGCCCTAAGATTTTCTTTTGAAGTTACATAAAGTTATTGCGTGGATTCCGCAAAACAATGCTGACAATTGCTACCAACCATGCCACTTGTACTGCCCACCAACCAGAGATGACCGCGATTGCATGAAAATAAAATTATTAAAATCAGTTTATGATGTGTTTCCAAAGGAGAGGCAAACCTCGACTAGCTTTGTAATTAAAAGAAATCTTAAAATCAATCTATTGTAAATCTTGACATTTAGTTTTTCCGTTGGGACCTGTTAATCATGTAGATTGATTTACCAATAAATTGATGCATTGTAGGAATCAGAAATGTTTGGAATATGATATCGAAATAAAAATTAAGAATCATTTTGTCTCACTCAAAATGGATGACGATTTTAGAAAATGACGTCAGATATTGCATTCATGAATTATTATGTTTCCAATCATTTATGATTTATCAAACATCAAGCACAACATAGAGTACCATTTCTTCAATTGCAATGTTTATGATTGTACAATGAATGCAAATTATAAATTATTAGTGAAAACATTTCATTTTTTTTGAACTTTTTCTTAGTACAGACTACAGCTAAAATAAAGTGTTTATCTTTCTCATGACATATATCTGTGAAGAATCATAACCAGATGAGTACGGTATCTCTCAGAAAGTTTTGGTAATTCAGAAAATATACTGTTATGTAACGTTAAAGTATCGTTAACTTGACATCATTTCATATTATAAAATAAACACAACGAAGCACGTGCGCTGATGGGTTTAGACCTGTGTTTGCATGAGTTTGCGAAAACAAACTAAGCTCATCCAATCAAATCAATCAATCAATCAAACAGAATTTGCAAATTAATCATGACTACACGTTAAAAGAATATTATAACGGTTTTTTGTTTCGCATTATTGTTAATTTTTAAAAAAAATAAAAGATGTTTTTCGTGTTTGCACTGGCTTTTGCAAGTGTGTCTGGGGTAAAAATTCTTGAGCATATGCAACCCTAGACATTCGGTCTCGGGCTTACACTGATCTGCTCTCGAGTTCTCCCAAAGGTATCCTCGGATTGCATAAGCCTGTGCAAACACATGCAGTAAACATCTTTTATTTATTAATTTGTGCATGAATTACTTCATTTGTAAATAACATCCTTGCTTTATTAGAGTAAATATTTACGAAATGCTAAAACGTCAAAGATTTTCACAGAATCTGTTTACAATAGACTACATTTACTATCTTAGATCAAAACATGAGAAATTTTCATTTCATTATGCCTAAGTAAAGAGTTTAACGACTTTTTTTAGCCATTTTTTTAAGAAAGAACACTTATAATTTAATCAAACCTTTGTAATCTTCGTCGTTAGGTCCTTACACCTCGACAACATAACGACATAGCGACAAGATGGCAGATGGTGTTATAACATTTAACTAAAATACGTGGAGTGCTACTTGTAATACAAAACCTTAATAATTTTTTGAAGCCGTAATTTTACCCCAGAAACGCGAGATTTTACACCAGACACGCTTGTGAAGTCAATTATTACTCCGTGCGAGAGTCTCAAAACACTAAGCACGCGTGTCTGGGGTAAAATCTCGCCTATCTGGTGTAAGATTTGGGCTTTTCGCTTCAATTATTAGCTTTAGGTAGCGCTCCATGTATTTTAGTTCAATTTGTTATAACGACTACCATTGGTAACCTGGCAAACATGTCGTTGAGTAGTAACAACCTAGCGTCAACGATGGTGTGTTACACACATAGCTACCTAACTTCCTGGAAGTGGTATCTTGCCTATATTGAATTAGATGGTATATGCTTGAACACAGGCTAAAAAATAGTCAAATAAAACAAAGTGAAAAATTTGTTTCGCCGTAATATTTTTGATGAACGTACTAAAACTACATTAATTTACATGATAAGTTGCGTCGATTTGTAATAACTCTTTTTCTATCTTTTTTCGTTCTTTCTTACATTGAGGAAGAGCACTTACAAGTATGTTTGCTTCTTTTTGTGAGGTTTTGTTGATGATAAAAATTTCGTACAAATTTAAAATGGGATCTTAGAAATTTTCAAAAAAAACAATAAATAAATGTTTTTGTAATCAAATATTCTCTACCTCATTTCTCAAAATACCATACCCTAATATTTAAGTTACCTGAGATAAAAGCATTAAAATGTCAAATATTTCAACGTGACACGTAGGATATGCAAAGAAGAAAATTTTTATTGTGTGTAATTTACTCTGAAATACATCACAGAAATTTTTTTTTTGTTTTTGTTTTATGTCTTTTGAAATCAAATCATTTTGATCTTTTTGCAAAAAGTACCGAGACATATATTATTTGAAAACATTGAAGCATCATTACCACCTGGATCTACATTTTGATATGTCTTAACATTAAGAAAAGATTTCTTCAAGTTAATGCCTTTCTCAACCTCTATTGAATACTTATCATCAAGAAAAACTTGGAAAAGAACAGGAAAATAATCAAGTGAATGTAATGTATTAAAATCAGATTCGTCTAATTTTTTGAGCTGATTTGTGAAGGTCTTATCGGATTATTTCGTAATTTTTGTATTGTGTCAATGTTTTCATTTCATAGCAGTTTGTTTTGGCCTTTTGAGTTCTAGCCCAGATTTAGTTGTGAAATGGGACAATTAACAACAGTGGGTTATGTAGCTAAATGTATCTTTTGTTCGAATATATGATGCCAAGAGATGCTTATTGAATTTCTTGCTGAAATTGCAACCAAAACAAAACTAAAATTTATCAAAAGTGATAATTCAGGAGAATTTGCAGGATATGAGTTCAAATTTCTTTTAAGTAATAGTCTAATCATGCAAGAGACATTGTTTATTGAGAGTTATTCGCCTTACCAAAATGGGAAGAGAGAGACTGGTCAAATTTATTCAATATGGCCAGATTGTTACCAGTAGAATTAAAATTACCAAAGTTGTTGTCAACTTGTGCAGTAATGGCATCTGCATATATTGCAAACAGGTGTAGCAATAATAGAATTGAAATAATTGCAAGTGAGGCTCTAACGAGATTTAAGTCTATTCTTACTAAAATGCATGGTTCGGTTCAATGTGTTTTTGCTAACACATACAGAATCCCAGAAAGCTCGAGCCAAGAGGTAAAAGAGGCATATTTGCGGAATGTGATAAGAGGAGTCCAGCTTACATAGTATATCACTAAGAAACCACGAAAATAGAGCGAGTAAGGTAAAATTTTTGATGGAGTCGATAAATTTGTCATTGACAAAATTAAAACGGATAATGAATTATGTCCATCATTTTGTACTATAAATCTGTTGCAATTCAGAGCAAGAAACTAAAAAATTGGACGGAAAAAATTACGATCAAGTTGAGAACACAGGAAAGTACCCATCTAAAGTCGAAAATAAGCCAGGCAGCATAGCATAACTGCTATTACCAGTAAGCGTGCAGTTGATTAACATTATAAATTAAATAACGTAGCAAATTCTTATTTAGAGGCGGATCAACCGAGTTAGTCTTGGTGATTACCATAAGTCATCAATGTTTACAAAGAGTTATCATCTTTCGAATAAGATAAGGTTCCAAGCTTTTTTAGTGCAAATCAATATATTTGTAAAAACATCTATATTTTGTATTGCGATCTAGCGGAAGTATCTTTCTTGGAGGCGTGTCTTCTTAGAAATTGCTTCATAAAAGTGAGGGACACGATCATTAAAGGTTCCGACACGAGTGGACCTTCTGTCAAGATATCTATACTGCTATCGGCATATTTAGTTGACAGGGATGTTTATTGTGAGCAAGTTAAGGGTTATTTAAATTATAGGATTAAGAGCGGAGAAAAGTTTGTTCACAAATTAAATACCTTGTAAGCCCCTGTGTGGTCTCAAACAAAGCGGCTGAAACTGGAATGAAACATTAAATAATTACTTGACCGTGGAAAAGCTTAGGCAATCACTCCCAGACCCTTACGTATACTTTATGTTTGTAGATGGAGCCTTGTTGAAATATTTAAATGGTTTTACTTTCTATTTGTGTAGCAGAGTGCAAATTTTTATAACAATTATGTTGCAATTTAGGCATAGTGGAAGGAAACAGAAGCTCAAAAATCAATGCAAATAACAAGGGACCGATAAAATTAGCAATTTAAAGGACGCAACTTTTCACAAAAAGGTCTAAACACACATGGAAATCATATATCATTTTAATAGAAGCGAAATACAACGCGGCTTAATGAGCTTAAGTTATTCTGCAAGCAAACACGCTTGGCATTTTTGTGCGCAAAATTAGAGAATTAGAATGTGCCAAATTTTATTGCCGGCGCGCGACATTTTTCGAAGCTTGGTAACGAATTTATCGAACAGCAAATTCCTTATTTTTGTCGATGATTTTCCAGCAAACGTTTTCCTTGAGCTACTTGGGAACACAAGAGTGTTATAGAGGATAACTAGAGGATCATTTTGATATCTCATTTGCTATGGTTACACATATAGTTTTTCAACAGACGAGCTTGTTGCTCGAGGGTTTTTGGCGAAATGGCGTCGGTTGGCGAAATTTGATAATTTACTCTAACTTTGGCTTGTATAGGTTTCTTTATCCGATCATTCTTTTGTTTAAATTTTGGATATTTGGTAAGATAAATAGTCTTCTTACAATCGTATGTTTTTTGTTTTGAAGAAAATGGGATAATTTAGCGTCAATCATGCCGTTCCGCAAGGCAACGAATTACAAACGATTCAATGTTGGGGAATACATGCGCAACAAAATATTGGCATGGGAAGGAAATATGAGCAAGCAAAAGAAAGCAAAATGTGTGTCTAAGAAACTTAAACGTCTTGATGATAAGGTAAAAAATGATAAGGTAGTTTTATTTGAAATGATCTTTGCTTACTCGATCTTTTCTTATGTCAATAAGTCAATAATATATGCAATATTTTGACATGATGTGTCGAATTTTGTATTGATAGGCTTATTTTTTAATGAAAGATTGTTTTATACAGAATCGACATATTTAGCGCCAAGGCGTACTATTTCATTTTAATTGTATTTTTAGTGTGAACTGTTTGTGCTTGTATTTTCTATCAGAATATGTATGCCATTTTTGTGCTGGAACTGTATTCATAAATTTTACAGGTAAAGAAATTGGTGAATGAAGTGGAAGAGTTAGATAGCATCAGGACAGAGTTCATTGAAGGTGGAAGTAGGCAGGGGGAACAAGAGGAGAAAGGTTTTAGCATAGGCAGGAAGGCAGTTGTTAGGCAAAGAAACAAACCAACTGGGCAAGCTGGTGTGGAGTCCACTGGTCGAACACGCAGGATGGAGACTATGTTGGCGGCTAATGCCATTCATGGAGGTAATAAAGATGATACAAAGCCTGGTGCCATTGGAATGTTGGAGACATTAGAAAATAAGTGCAAAGTGGGTGATATAGTAAAAGGATTAGAAAAGTGCAGTAAGTTTAAGAGCAAGGTTTTTCCAAAAATTTACAAAGAAGATTTGAAGAAGTTCGAAAGATCAGATGAGAATATGTTAAGATCGATTGCTGTGTATTATAGCAAAGGAGTTATGGGCAAAGAAAAGTATAGAAGAGTTTATAAGGCTAGCTCATATGAGCAGATATGTGGTAGTAAGAGGGCTAAACGTGTTAGTGTTGCTAAATGTCCCACCCCTCGGCTGGTTCCCTATGATAGATTAATGCAATACATTAAATCTATTGATATTGGTAAGTTATTTAGTGTTCGTGAACATCTGTGCAATGGGTTGGATGAGTGTGAGAAGGTCAATGGTTTTTACAGAGATATAGAAGATATTCTTGTTAAGCTTGCAGAATTTTATTTGAACATTGGTAAGTATAAACTTTTCAACTTTAATCAGCCAAACTCATTTCATGTTGCTATTGGTGGAGATGGGGCCCTTTGGAAGAGATGATTCAGCATGCTCTTGGCTGGTAAGTTTTCTAAACATTGGACATGGCATGTTGAGCCGCAATGAAAATTTCCTGCTCTTTGGGGCTAATTGTTCAGAGAACTGTCTCCTGTAATTGCTTATAGCAATCATTCTACAAAAAACAATTATTTAACAATTGCTTTTGATTTGGCATTTGCTTTTTGTGATTTGTTACAAAGCAAAGTAATTTTATGTACAAGCTGAATGAAGACAAAGATATTAAAATAAGTATATTGTTTGGGTAAGTTGTAATATTGTAATTGTATATATATAATGTAACAAAACTATTTAGTCTTTTATCATTTGGACAAGTATAATCTGTGCAACTTAATCTTACCAGAATATGTACATGTTAGAGCATGCAAGCTTTACATGTGCATACAATCAAATTTGCATATATTATACTTATCTGAATTTTACATTGACTGATATTTGTGTAGTTTAACTAATTTTTAAAACCTTTGTCAACTTTAATAAAAACTCGAAGAAGCCAGAGTGTGGTGTCCTCATTGAAAAATTTACTGTCTAGTATTCGCAGGCAATGCAACAATTACCAAGAGCTAATAAATGGCTCAGTTGTTAGTCAGGTTTCAACTTTTTTATTTGAAATAAATTTAAAAGGTATTTGTAGATCTCTTTGTTTTTAGAGGGATGACATGAATTAGGTTGAATTTTTCATATTTTTCTTAATTTTGAATGAGTTGCTTCTTTTGCTGTTTGGCAAATTTTATGTTTGTTTGTCTTTATGTACAAAATAAGAAACTGGAAGGCTCATCATTGAATAAACAAAGTCTTTCACCTCGGTTACAATAACTGCTGCTGTTTGACCCTTGCAACGTCCGCTAAAACTTCGCCTTAGGTAAGCAGCAACATCTTCCTTGGACAAGCCAGACAACAAAACAAGCAACTCATTCAAAAGGCGCATGGAGGTGAAGGATATCACCTCAGCCTTCTTGTTTTCAACCTGGTAACAGAAAGGAGCCACAAAACTATCCAAAGTGCGAACAGTACGCATGGTATGGTAGCAAAAAAAGCATGCGGAGTAACCCTCGTAATTTCCCCATAATATGGGTTTCTGATGCTTTTTTTGCCACCAAGTCGTCGAAGAATCCCCATTAGCCAAATTCGTGACTCCTCCTTTAAGAGCTTAGCTGGATTGATAGAAAGTCCCATCAATCTCAGGGAACTATTGTTGTGTGTCGAAGTCTACCTCTGCAAGTTGAAGCGTAGCTTGCACTTGCCCAACACACCGCTTTGAGACAATTTCCACATTTTCTCATTGCACGTCACTTGCAATGCGAAAATTGCCTCTGCAACTTTTCTTAAGGAGGAAGGTGGCTGTTGAACGGCGCTGTTGTATATGTTATCTTGATGTAATTTTTCTTCTGCTGAAAATCGCACATTAGAAACAGCCGCCATCTTCATTAATTAATTATTTTAATCAAGTATTTTGTGCAAAAACCGCTGGACACAATGACTTACAAACTAGCGTTTTGGCATGCAAAAATGCCAGGCGTGAAAGGCAACTTACCAAATATTTCATAAGAAGATAACGAGTAAACATTTAGATTGGGTAGTGTTAGAAATGGTTTTCAAATATCAAAAAAAGGATCTCTGATATCCTCAAAGAATAGGAAAAAGCAAATGGTTTTACTTTCTGCATGTAAAACAGAGTGTACAACTTTATCTAGGGTGCAGTGATTTAAGCATAGTGGAAAAGAACAGTGGCGCGAAAATCAAAGCACACAACCAGGGAGCATTAATATCAGGAAGAACCAAGCTTTTCAAAAAAAAACAATGTTTAAACACATAGAAATTAAAAATCACTTTATTAGAAGCAAAGTGCAGGTAGCGCGGAACAATGAACTTAATTAATTGCCAACGAAGATAACTTAGTAAATACATTTATAATAACAAAAAGTAAAGTTAAAATAGATCATTTTTAACATTTTCTATGTAGCCAAAATGACCCTGTCGTATGTATAAGTGTAATGTAAGTGTTTGCCAAGCCACGTCTTTATAATGAAATAAGGAAAGTGTAGTAATTTGTGTAATAATGTCACCCTATCATTGTGAACTTAATCTCATGATAGATTATTATCAACCAACCATGTAGCGTCCTTTATATGTAAATTACGTGTATCAGCATGTGCTTACTTGTAATTTTTGTAGTTTCTTGCAATGTAGAAGTTTTCATTGAATGTTATAAATAATTTTTTCAGCAGCAACGCGAGTCACAACAACTGTCACAAAATAAATTCACTAGCACAGTGTGAAAGAATGGATATTTGCCATAGGTTTTAATAAAGGTATGTAAAACAGAGCTACAAAAGCTTTTCACGAGTTCAGCAATATATATATATATATATGAAGTATATAAGTGAGCAAAAGTTCCATATTCGTGATCGTCCAGACTTTGCAAGCTCTGTTTGTTCAACTCAGGGTTCCATTTTTGAGATGTTGCCATTTAGTCTTACAGTAAAATAATATCACTTTTTAAAAACCCTCAGTATTCTACAAAACTTCACCAAGTAGCTACCAGTTAGCTACAAATCATTCTTTTCTAATCATCCCTCTATTAAGAATCGACAAAATCATCACTACTACTCTGTCAAGTACTTCTCTACTGAACTTGATGACATGATCAACCACATATTTATGTAATCAGCAAAAATTTACAACTGCTTCATTTTCGTGAGAAGTTCTTCGGTATTTTCTGCACTTTTTACCCTGATTAAAAAACTGACAGGCTTGGAATTATCGCCTTCTTTACGAAATACGGGTGGGTTTTGCACGCCTAGAAGCAACACACTGTCTTTCCCCGATCTCGACATGAGTGTAGATTCATTAATGATGACGTTAAGAATAGTTTTACCCAAGGACGTATCATTACGTATTATCACCTGAATCAATATTAATGTTGTACCAAGAATTTGGCCAACCTGAAAAAATGCAAACCTAATATTCAATCAAAATAAAAAATAACAGCCAAAAGTGTTTCTTAGCTTGTACTTAGATTCGCTTATTCAATAATGACGTGAAATGCGTCAAGTGGGGTTCTCTTTAATACCAAAAATAATTGAAAGTTATATGTTTACTATAGTTATACGTTTAGTATAGTTAGTATAGATATACGTTTAGAATAGTTACTATAGTTATACGTTTAGTATAGTTAGTATAGATATACGTTTAGTATAGTTAGTATAGTTATACGTTTAGTATAGTTAGTATAGTTATACGTTTAGTATAGTTACTATAGTTATACGTTTAGTATAGTTAGTATAGATATACGTTTAGTATAGTTAGTATAGTTATACATTTAGTATAGTTAGTGAATATACGTTTAGTATAGTTAGTATAGTTATACGTTTAGTATAGTTACTATAGTTATACGTTTAGTATAGTTAGTATAGTTATACGTTTAGTATGGTTAGTATAGTTATACGTTTAGTATAGTTACTATAGTTATACGTTTAGTATAGTTAGTATAGTTATACGTTTAGTATGGTTAGTATAGTTATACGTTTAGTATAGTTACTATAGTTATACGTTTAGTATAGTTAGTATGAATATGCGTTTAGTATGGTTAGTATGGTTATACATTTTATAGTTAGTATAGATATACGTTTAGTATAGTTAGTATAGTTATACATTTAGTATAGTTAGTATAGATATACGTTTAGTATAGTTAGTATAGTTATACGTTTAGTATAGTTAGTATAGTTATACGTTTAGTATAGTTACTATAGTTATACGTTTAGTATAGTTAGTATAGATATACGTTTAGTATAGTTAGTATAGTTATACATTTAGTATAGTTAGTATAGATATACGTTTAGTATAGTTACTATAGTTATACGTTTAGTATAGTTAGTATAGATATACGTTTAGTATAGTTAGTATAGTTATACGTTTAGTATAGTTAGTATAGATATACGTAATGTTATAGAGGAAGCTCACTTAAACTTTTATAAATTCTTAATGAGCCTGCTCGCACGCAATAATAACATTCCAAATTTTTTCGTCCATTCCGATTTAGAAGAATTCTTAGATGGTCACGTACTAATGCATAGCACATTAGGTGAAACACACCCGGATTCTTAGATTCAAGTTATGTTCATGAATACAAAATACGATTGAATAATTATCATAGTTATGATACATAATTACTTATTTCACTTGTTAATGATAACTCAACTCAGTGTTTGACTAACCAAATAAACAGAATTGCATGGTAAGAATAAAGATTCTAAACATAACGACAAGTACGTTTCACTACTCATGAACTTTGAAAATTAAAATAAAGTTCAAACGCATTTTTGAAAAAGTTGTCAAATCGGGAATAAGATTCACAGAAATATAAGTTTCAAAAATTGCAGCAGACGTCAGTGCAAATTGGTCAGGACTAGACATCTCAAAAACCTTAATTATAACAAAACAGCCGAGACTATCAAAATCGTTTAAAGACAAAGAGGGCGATTTTATTAATCAGAATTTTTAGAAAAATGTTATAGAGAGAAAAATCATAAAAAAACAGCGTTACCATTGCCAAAAAAAAAACATGCAGTTAAATAGAGACTGGAAATTCACCGGTAAAGACAGGATCGAAACAACAACGCTTGTGAACATTAATGTATTTAGCTCTTTCCGAGTTATTTCTTTTGAAATTAAAATCACTAACAAACAAAAAATCAGTCTGTCAGAAATAAACAGATGAATATTCCCCCCTCCTCCTATACAGTCAACGTTCTAGATTCCTGTGCGTAGCCAACCTGCTTGTTTATAGTCCTGTTTATTGGTTTGTCTTTGTTGACTTACTTAGAAAACAACAAATTTGATAATGAAAAGAATAAGGCTTGATTGAACATATTTGTCATAATCTACGGTACGATGCAACATTTCCAAAAGTTACTTTTATTTCACATTGAATCACCTTTTCAATTTTTTTGTAATTTTTTTCGTTTGGTCGTTTTATAACACTT